CTAATATTCTGGAGATTTTTTTCAAGTTCTTCGGCCTTTTCCTTAGGGAAATTTTGTTTCTTATTTGCTGCTAAAAAATGGCGTCTGATTCTGTCAATGACTTTGATGGAACTAAATGAAAACGTGATAAATTAATGTCTGATATTTACAGGCCCACTAGACGGCGTACTCGAGCGTTGCGATCGCGAATTATAAATTGTACCAATTTGTCATACTTTCGGATTTAAAAAAGAAAGAAGGTAAGTGTTCTGCTTTTAATTTTTTTTTCTAAAATAATTTTACATTCCCTGTTATTCAGATCTGCGCAGATTACTTAAAATTTGTCTAGATTACTTAAAACTCGTCGATCACAGACGAGCTTTTTTAAATTTTGGACATAGATAAAAATTCATACCTTCCAATAAAGTTTCTCGCGAAATATTTTCTACAGAGGCAGTGAATTTCAGTGAAAATTTTAAAACAAATCATTATTTTTCAATTTTTACCTGAATTTCTGTACGTGCGGCCACTTGTCTATCTGATATTTTCTGTATTTTGTTATCTGGTTGCTCACTGCGTGCTCTTGTGCGCCGAATCTAATCAATTAAAAATGAAAACTGTTGCCGCTTATGTTAAATAGACCCCTGGGGGTCTATATAGACCACTTTGGCGACCTATGCCTTAAAGTATTGTTATTAACTGGCAACAAATTCAATGACAAGAAAATATATGTGGGTATAAAAAAGGAGAGATAAGTTTAAACACATTTCAGTAGTCTTGTGAAAATCACTTTTTCATTTTTCTTTTTTCAGATTAGAACAATGCAGACAAGTTAAAAGTGTTCACTCTCTTAAGCTTTATAAAATGAGTCTCAATTATATTTTGTGCTAATCAAGTAGTGTATGATGACCCCTTAACATATATGCCAAAATTTCAGGAACACTCTATGTTATTAATCTCAACATCTCATATATTGCTGACTGTATATAATTACAGTTTTCTTGACATATCTGAATTTCATAATGAAACAATAGGAGTTGGACAAAAATATACACTTTTATACTAACTTTATGTAAACAATATGCTGGCACTTTTGTTTTACTTAATTAACTTTATGTTGGCACAATTCGAAAGATCAAGGTTTTAGCTTCTTAGAAATGGTGTCATTTTTACTCATGCACAATTTGCATCGCATACCTGCCAACTCTTCCGGATTTTCCGGAAGATTTTATTTTCATATTTAAAGTGGTAGCAATACTCAGGTTATTCCAATTAACTTTTTGAATTATAATGATAATTAAAAATGAGTTTGACCACCACTACATATAAATAATTACAATAAATATATATAAAAGCATAATAATCCTTGTGCAAGCAAATTTCAACGGGAACAAAATATAAATATATTTTTGTGTCAGATTGTTTTTCGTTTATTGTTTTACAACCACTCTGAAAATCCATTCTCGGAAAGAGTGGAAGTTGGCAGGTATTCAAAAGCTTATTTCCTTTTTCCAATGCCACTAAAATTGAAAAAGCATTCTAATATGAATATTACAATCCTATATACTGTTAACTAAATTACTGGTATTAAAACTAGACAAAAAAGTCAATAACTTACTCTCCTCACTTAGGTCGATCTGAAAGATGCATGGGTAAATATGACACCATTTCTGAAGAGGTTCACGTTGTGCCAAAACGTTTTCGTAAAGTATTTCATTTGAATTTAATTATGAAACAATAGAAGTTGGGCAAAAATATGGAAGCACTTCTATACTAACTCTATGCAAGCAATATTTATTTTAACAGCAAATGTTTTGGAAGATCTTAGTGGCAGAACTGTTGGTACTGTTTGAAAGATCATGCTTGAAGCTTTTGGAAATGGTACCTTTCTACTCATGCAGAATTTTCCTCAACCAAAATGAGCGTAGGAAATTAAAATCTTCTTTCCTTTGCCAATACCACTATAGTTAAAAAATCACTCTAATATAAATATTGCAATCATATTAATTTACAATACATACTTGCCAACTTTTAATCCCTTCCATTATCATTTTTCCCAGTGGTATTAAAATGGAATTAAAACTTCAATTTTAAGCAAACAAATACGTTGTATTTGAGAAAACTTAAGTTGACAACCATGGTAGTAACGCATATTAATATATGTGCTTAATTTTTGTAAGAATAGTGGTGATCAAAATCATTTAAAAATTTAGTTTATAAAAGAAAAAACAGTATATAATTACTACCACTTTAAATATGAAAATAAAATCTTCCGGAAAATCCGAAAGAATTGGCAGGTATGACAATATTACGGCTATTAAAACTTTAAAAAAAATTATTAACTTCTGCTTACTATAATTGATCCAAAATTTGGATGGGTAAATATAACACCATTTTCATGGGTGAAAGCCCTTATATAGCAAGACGGAAAAGAGAAAAACCTGGTACGTAAAACATTTCATTCCAGCATTTTTTTCGAAAAAAATGAAATATCTGTAACTATCAAGATTTATTTTATAATTCTGGCATATATATAAAACTGCTTTTTTTCCAAGATTAAGTAGAGATTGTAGAAAAATTCAAAAAAAGAATAAGTAAACTCCTCCCCAAAACTAGCTATAACTGAAATGGTTTTACTACCAGCTTTTCCTCTTTTCCGTCTCGCTTTCACCCCTGACCATTTTTAAAAAGGATCATTCATGATCTTTCAAATTGTGCCAAAGTTTTGCCACGTAAAATGATTCTAAGCATTTGTGTTTATATAGATTGAGTACAGATGAATTCCAAATCTATTTAAACCCCTGTATTTGGATTAACCCACCTGATTGCGTACAAATCATCATCATTCTAGCCACAAATAGGCAGAATGAGGTTTTAATAATCGCAAGCTAAGACTCATTGAAGAAACATTTTTAAAAAATGTTCCGTCTTTAGAAAGTCTGTGAAATCCTTACTCATATACTGCTGACTACAACAACTTCAAAAAGGGGTACTGATTGCTATCAGTACAGCATGAGACAGCGTGCACTTGGTCATGGAACGAGCCTAATGGTTTTTGAGTAATGTTTCTATATTGAACATAAAAAAAATAAAAATATCATTCATGAGTAATAGACACTTAAAACGTCTAAATTTATTTGAGGTTTTTTTTTTTCAAGAACAACTTATTTCATTAAAGGGTAAAAACCTACTTATTTTTCTCTACTAACGTTCTTCCATTTTCATTTTCATACCAACCTAATTTTACTTTTTTCAAGAACAATTTTCGAAAATGGTAGAAAAATGACAATTGCAGGCAGTACAATTTTCTATTTTAAATTGCCAGAGCTTAAAGACACCTTCGAAAGATTAGATTTTTTTCATAAATATGCATTATCTGTGAACATAGAAATAAAATATTACGGAAAATCCGTAAATGAGGACAAGTTATGCATTACAAGTTTTTTTTCAAAACTTGATTCAAAAAATTATTTTTTTTTCTTCTAGCTGTTTTCACAAAGGCAATTCTTGCTGGAAAATGAGCTCAAAATACGACGAAATCATGGCAACGAAGGCTTTTCTTCCATATCGAATGGGATATCTTACAGATTGGATGATTAAAAAAGCCAAAGCAGAATTAAATGAAACTGATCAAAATCGAGATCCCGCTCTCGAGGAATTCCGAAGTTTGATAGCCAGTAAGTATTATGTAGCTGCCAACATGTATGGTCGTTGGAAAAGTTTCCACGAAGTTGTAGAAAAATTATGATTTAAGTGAGAATTACGTAAAGCAGCCGTTCTCAAAAACAGGGCTCCCCAAAGGTCCGCCAAAAATATCCAAGAAGTCCCTAATTTTGCCCGCACTTCAATTTTGATAATATTTTTTTTTAATGGCGGGCACTTGGAACTATTGTCCATTGGCCACAGAAAGTGCCAGAACTGCTAACTCTCTTTTCGTTACCCAGAGGGCACTTGTGGCGAAGCCATGGCAGTGGAGCAGCGTCGCCCACGTCACACCACCACAACCCGTTTATAGGGCGGGTCACACTCACGCGTAAAGGAGAAGGGACATGGAACAGATAGAGAGAAAGAAACATCCATGCCTTGCCCGGGATTCAAACCCAGAACCTTTCTGATGCAAGGACAGTTCCCTGCCCCCTACACGGGCCGGTCGGCATTTTGATTATATTCAACGGCATGTATTAGACTTCTATATATGCAGGAAATTTCCAAATTTTTGTGGTTACTAAAAAAGTTTAATGAACCATTTTATACAAAAGAAATGTATTTCATAGTATATATTTTCTACCCCAGAGACTCTGTATACAAACTGTTTATATTTTTTTAATTTGTCTGTAATTTCACCATGAATGGGATATGGGTCTTCTGCGCCTCCCAGGTGCCCAGCTTTTGTTAAATAAAGTTTAAAAAAAGTATACATTATTTTCTAGCCACTTGCATATTTTAGCGAGATCGCCTACCAAAATCGGCACGAACTATCCTTAAGACCCAATATTTGGAGATATAGTTTAAGATTTGCTGGATTTACTTAAAAAAAACTTTGTTTATATTGTGTTCCTGCCTTTCTATAGTTTGTCTATAGTAAAAGCTCCCCACACCACAAAGTCTGAGGCAGTCTGCTGCTATGGAAGCAAGAATAGTGCATTTCAGGGTGGGTAGCTTCGATGATAGATTATATAGGAAGCATACCAGGTAGGAGACTTATTTAATCTGATGCAAGAACTTGAAGATTCGCATAGATATTTCTTTCTTTACTTGAAATGATGCTCTCTACCCAGTCGGTTGCTATTTTTTAAATACAAAGAAAAAATACTGAACATATTCTGACATTAAGGGTATTGCAGGTTTTTTGTGCTACTTTTTAATTTTATGTTAGTTTCTCATTATTTGTGCTATTTTTTATGAATGGTCATTGATTTATAAACTTATACATTTTTTTCAAAGCAGTTAATTTCTTTTATTAGTTTCGCGCTTAAACTTATTAACTTTAAGTTTAAAGGGTGATAAAAATTTTGCTCAAGACAGAAATATTTCATGTTATCTATGCAGGAGAAATTTTCAACGATTTAATCGATTCATTAGAATTTTTTTAAACTCTTTGTTCATGTTGATGTTGTATACTCTCATGTGTAGATATTTCAATCGATAATATTTAGTTTAAATAACTTATTTAGATAGATAATATAAATGTTAACAACTACATTTTCTCTCTCCTTTTTTTCCTTTAAAAAAATTTTCATTGGCTGGGAGAAGGTCATGTTCTTATTTTATGTGCAGTTTTTTTATCGCAAATAGTATGTAAAATAAATAAATAAAAATATTTAAATAAAATAAATAAATGAAAAATAAATAAATAGAATAAAATAAATTGGTAAAAAGTTGTAACGTGCTTCACTTCTCATTATTCATTTATTTTTTTATTCTTTTTTTTTCTGTAGCAGAAAGCAAGTTACCGCAACTAGGATGATGTCTAAAATTATCAACGATAATTTTTTATCAACACTCATCAAACCATCTGAAGTTATCTAAGTTTTTTTTTTTTAATCACGTTTCCTTATTTTTATTTCTATGCAGCCTGTATAGCTTTTCTCACCATTTATTAAAAAATGATTACTAAAATTTTCCTCAGTGAATCTTTTTGCCATTCAAATTTAATTCTTTCACGAAGAACTGAAATTAATATCCGAAGCGATGGCACTTTCTTCTCCCTTATTTAAAATTCATGGAAGATTTGCCGTATCGTACACTTGTCGAAATCAGCAATTCGGTCAGATTGCTTTTTCCAGGAGTGCACTATACCCCTTCTTTTCATGAACAGGAAACTTCTCTTTTTATATTTTTAAGTGTAAAGTTCGACACTCCAGTTGCCAGACATGCTTCTTGAGACGCTTGATGGAGAGGTAATTTAAGGACTTTTCCCTTAGAGTTATCAGTAACAAATTCAAACACATCGTGCACAATCTGTTTTTAGTGGTAATAGATACATATTTGAAGCTTAAAAAATAGGCATAACTCTCTTATCTTCCTGAAGATGTTTTATTTGGTCTGCCGTAAAATTGTCAGACTATGAATTTCGATGAACAAGGTTCGAGTAAGAGTCAGNGAAACTGAAAACTCTCATCAGAGTTTAAGGACTTTTCCCTTAGAGTTATCAGTAACAAATTCAAACACATCGTGCACAATTTTAAGTGCAAATTATTTTAAAGCTTTAGTGGTAATAGATACATATTTGAAGCTTAAAAAAATAGGCATAACTCTCTTATCTTCCTGAAGATGTTTTATTTGGCCTGCCGTAAAATTCTGTGTGAGACAGAACGCGCCCCATCGTATAAGGATGCAAAAGAATCCATATTAAAAAAAGAAATGTGGCTTAGCATTTACCCTTAAATACACAGATCAAGTATACTGCTTATTTCTATCAGATGTTTTCTTTACAATTTTGAATATGCAAGCACATGCTCTTTTGCGCAATACATGCTACGTCTCTTTAATCTAGATCAGTACTATTAAGTGTAAGATCCTACCACTTTCTCTCATAAAAGAATCTTTTCGATTGATATAAAATAAGACGTTCATAATTGCCCAAACCTAACCCTCTGGGTAAACCATCGACACAAAAATTGAGATAGCACATTTATTGTGATCTGATAATGAAACTTGCGCTTTTCTGTAACATTTAGATTGAATTTAATCACTACTACATATGAATAAATTAATTATAATTATATGCGTAAAAACCTTGAGTGAAGCTACTTTATCCTCAATAAATTGTTAGTAATTGTTTTACCTAAAATTAAATTTTATTTTCTAAGTTCAGTACTACTTGCAGAAATGCCCCGGGCTACTTAAAATGGAAAAAGTGGTGGAATTTTTTTTTTAGTTAGTTAATCTATTTAATTTTTAAATTCTAACTACCATCATGATTTGCATTGCTAATTATTTAGATTTAAAACTAAAACGTTCTTCACAGTTTTCAGTAGATAGCCCCCCCCCTCCTCATACTTCTACATGAATGAACAAGGGTGATTCTCACATCTGGCGTATACCACTCCTAGCTTTATACCTAATTGTACCCAACAAGATAGGCTACTATATATAAGCAACAGATTACTTAATATAGTTTTTAACTCAAATTTTTAAAAATTTAAATTTTCTACAAATTTTTGATTGTATTTGCACAATTTGATCAGTTTCTACTGAAAGCTCCACGCCGCCATCCATCTCAATCATGGGCTGCCAACTAGTGCGCTTTTTGCAAAATATTTTATTTAAAAACTAAAGCTTACAGAATTGTAGGTAATTTTTACAGCATTTCAAAAGCCTTACTTAGCCTAAGTTAAGACAAAGTGATTTTTGTATGAATCATTTACAAGTAGTGGTGTGAAAAATAACTTTAAGTCAAATTTATAAAAGAAAGATTCATATAGTAAAGCATAAATTTAGCTATCACTAGAAGAAATTTTTCCAAAAAGCATAGAAAGTTGGCAGACTCATTCGGCCAGACCCAGTACCTGCTCCCGCTACACCTGTGGAATCAGCTCCAACGGAACGAGAGGAAGTTGCCGAAGCCCCGGCGGCGGCGGACCCTCCTGTTTGAGCTTCAACATCAAAGAATTCCCCACCGAATAGGAAACTGAAAACTCTCATCAGAGGATTAAAAACTGATACCGATATTCCAGAATTGGAGAAATATCTTAAAGATTTTGAACTTTTCCCAGAAAAAATAGTTCAACTCAAGAGGGGAAACTGGCAGGAGCTCAGGCCCCTCCCACTTTTCCTCCTCATCCAATCGGATTCCCAAATGAGCAGAAACATCCTCAGCATCTGTTCTCGCTAGAGAGAGCAGTTCATATCGAGCGTTTCCGTTGGGGACGCTATCAAATTCAGTGCTACAGATTCCAAAAATATGGACGCATTCAGTGAAGCTGCACTGCAACCGATCCTGCCTGCCTGAAATGTGCCTGAGCTCATTACTCGTACCAGTGTACGAAGCCTAGATCAGACCCGGCGACCTGCGTCAACTGCAATGGTGAGCACCCAGCCTGTTTTACGGGCTGTAGTGCAAGACCCAGTAAATTGACAAAGGTAAAAAGACCTATCACAAGAAAGCTACAGATTCTGCCAGCCGTTTCTTACGGCTATTTACTGAGATGAAAGAACTCTTAAAAGGTTAAGAGCTTGTTAAGCTGCTTCGTTCCCTACTCCCAGAGACCCAGACCTAGACTTACATGATCGGCCAACCCGGAGCCAGCATCCAGGAAGCCACGCCCCTTCTCAATTCTTTGTCTTTTGTATGATCACAGCTTGTTGTGATCATACAAAAGACAAAGTTCTTTTTTGTTTCAAATTCTCCTGCATCCGAATCTGCATCATAGATCCAACCCACATCAATGAATCGGTTAATGCCGCTTCGTGGCAGCACACCGAGATTTGTGGAATTTCTTCCGTTCTACCTAAACCCTTCCACTGTTTTTTACCCTAAACAGTCTCAGTCGCCCCAGGGCCAATACAGATGAAGAATTGAGGTGCCCGCTGCCGCAGGCAGGAATTTCGCGCCAACACGTAAAGAGTCTAGTCGTCACGTTAAAATCAAATTGAATACTAAACTGAAAGAAATATGATAGGAAAAAATTACTAAATTTAATCTCAAAAGAGATTAAATTTAGTAATTTTTACTGTAACACAGATACAGTTCTGTACTGTAACACAGATACAGTACAGAATTAAGTACAATAGATTTTTGCTCTTTATTAATCACCACATTTTACGCTTTGAGCCTCTAGAGACATACCTTTATTTGTGAAAATCTTTACTAGAAAGAGAAGTTGGTACGATTAAATGCGTACCTGCCACTTTTAGCTATTTCCAGGAATGATTTTCCCAAAAAGTGTTGAAATTAAAATTGTAATATCCATTATAGAAAAAAAGGTTTTGGTATTTTGCAAGAGCTTGGGGAGAGATAGCATGCATGGCCCCGAGTCCCCAAGTCGCATTAAACGAGGTTTGCAACTCAATGCAATATGGCACATAGTCTACAGAATTTATTTATACTCCTTCTACAAAAATTCTGAATGAGGCTAAGCAAATTTTGTAACTGCATGCAATATGAGGCAACCAGTTTAGCAATCTACTTTATATGAAGCATTTAACACTTAACTCTTAAAACTTATTTAACTCTTATTTAACTCTTAAAATTTTTGTTAGTTCATCGAAGTAATTTTTCGTGATATAGATACAGGGTGTTTTTACATAATTTTCATTTTTTGTAACACAGATACAGTACAGAATTAAGTACAACAATTTTTTAAATTTTAGCAATAATCATGATTTATTTTGTTAATGTATTGCAGAAAAAACGGAATTAGACTGCTGGACAGATGATGCTTATTTATTGCAATATCTAAGATCAAGAAAATTTAATCTCGAAAATGCCATGGACCGTTTGCAAAATTTTTTCACTGTAAAAAAGAATTTTCCTGATGTGTATCCAGAAAACTTAGATCTTCATACATTAAAAAAAGTTTTTGATTCAGGTGTTTGTAGCTGTTTGCCATACAGGGATGACCATGGTAGCTTCGTTTTTGTTTTCAATATATGTAAGTAAACTTGTACTTAACTAACATTAATAAACTTATTGCCTAATTAATTTTGACCTTCTTTGCTAAAAAAAAGTTTTAATATTTGCTGTTATATTTATTATTTTTATATTTATTCTACTGACAAAGTTTCTTTTAAAGTATTATAAAACAATAATAATGGAAATGTAATAAATTTCAAGAAAGGTATGTAATTTTAAAAAATATAATTACGATTTTGGTCTTATAGGACCAGTTTCCTCGACATATTTTATTTTAAAAAATTTCATGTTATTATTTTATATTCACATCATGTTTTAGTGTATAATCTACACATAAATCCAAATAAAAAGATTTTTAAATTAAAAACTGCTACATTTTACAAATAACTACAAACTAAATTTGCAAATATTAAGACAGATTTTTCTAGTTTTTTAAAAGGTTTATCATGACGTATGTGCTTGCTTGCTTTATTTAAACAACTGGGTGCCTAGGCCACGCAGCGGCCCCTAACCCATCCATCTTAAAAATATTATTACAGTGAATATAACATTTTGATTTATGTAACAGTGTGGTAACATAAAAATAACCATGATTAGAAATTTGTACAACTTGATCGATGATTTACATAAATTGCCTTTAAAAAAGAAGTGAATACAGCCATGATAAGGTCGAAATACATGAGATACACGCTTTATCTGTGATATTACATAAATTACAGTTGAAATTTGAAATTGAGCATAAAAAATGATGATTACATATATACACATGATCGGGAAAATTATGAAGATTATAAATAATAATTATGAAAATTATAAATTATGAAGATTCTACATAAATTTTTCTAAGCCATAGTGGTGCCATCTAGTGTGATAAACATTCAAGAATATAAATATGCATAGTACTAGAGATATTATCAAAAGTTCGAAAAAGAGTTCAGGTTTAGTCAAAGTGGCTTTAATCTGGAGTGGACTCACGCATGATTGTTTGAAGTAGTTGTAGGACTTCTCTGTTTTTTAATAGTTCTTTTAATTCTTTGATGATTGAGACAAGTCTATGGGCTTGACCTGCCGTTGTTGGTGGAGTTACAGTTGGAGTTGCTCGAGAGCTCTTCCTGGGGGGACGGATGCTGCATCCCGTGAAGTTGGCGGTGTGTGCCTCACCACAGTTGCAGCATTTGGGTGGTGTAGTTTTGTCTTTATGGCACTAAAAGGAACGGTGGTCGGCGGCACATTTAAGACATCTTGGTTGAGATTTGCATGTTCGCTGTGTGTGGCCGAAATTCTGGCAGTTGTAACATTGGATTGGGCTATTCCCGCCACTGAATCTTTTAATTTTCACGAGAAGGTCACAAATATTGGTAACTGAGTAGATTTGCTGATTTTGGTCTGCTTTGATCAATATTGTGAGAAAAAGTGGGAGGAGCCGATAGGCCTCGCCAACTTTTCTCTTAAACTGTATGACTTTTTGTGTTATAATGCCTGTCTTGGCCAATTCAAGGGAGATATGTTCTGCATTGGTGCCAACTGGAAGTCCACGGACTAGAACTTTAATGTGCATGATTGGTAGATCTATTTCTGGAGTTGTGGGTGGAGCTGCAGTTGCATGGTAATCCTCCTTGGGTTGGGCTAAGTCAGGATCTACATTAGTTTCAGAAAGTTGCAAGGAAGTGGCGATATCTAGTAGTAATGGAGGGCTGCTATTTGTAGTCATGAAGGAATTTTCTTCAGATTTTTCAACGTTATTTTGCTTTTTCTTTTTCTTTTACCGCTTTTTTGGAGGGGCTCTGCATTATTTTTAGCTGTATTTTCTGTATCGGTTGTCATTTCGCTTTTCTGTTCTACATTTTGGCCTGCATCGTGAGTTTCCATAAGTTGAGTTTTGAGTTGCGAGCAATTCTGAAGCACTTTCGCTGTTGTTTCAATTTGTTCGTTGGTCAAATTTATCATTTCCATCCATTCTTCATATAACATTCGCTCACCTGGACTCATGCTTTCCACATTTACCGTTGGTTCTCGTGATGTCTTTTCGGTTTGCCGTTTTCTGCCACGTGGATGATTTTGATATGTAGCCATATTGCGTGATTTGATTTTGTTGTCGAATTCCTCGGGTTCCTCATCCGTCGTAGAGTCACTGAGGTTTTGACACCCGGTAGGCGTGCTTGTCTTTCCACCACGTCCGCAACGTCGAATACTCATTTTGCAGTACTTTAAAAATTGAATTGAATAAGCTTAAACTTAATTTTTGTACTTTACTTTAAACTACGAGCTTCAAACTTTGCCACGTCCAGGCATAGTTGCGAGAGAATCATTAAGAACTACTCACCAAAAGGATTAAACATCAATAACTCAAAATATCAAAAATTTTTCCTCCTCATTAACATCAAATGGGCGACATCAAAGGCAGAAACTTTTCACTGATCTCAAACTTTTCGCATGACTTCAATCGTCAATTTTATTTTCGAATCAAGCGATATGCATGACGTATGTGATAAAATTGGTGAATTATATAAGCCTACGAATTGCTTAGAAATAGTGGTGGATAAAAATCTACTAAATTGAATTTATTAAACTAAGGATCACATTCACAATTAATAAACTACCACTTGAAAATATTTATTCGCTGTCCGGAGCAAGCCTCCACACGGTTTTTATAGGTAGTCCGATCAGACCATTGTGAAGGATATCCACTTATATACCTGCCAACTTTTACGAATTTGGCGTAAAATTTTATTTTTATATTTAAAGTGGTAGTAAATATATACTTTTTCTTCTTTTATAAACTTAATTTTTAAATGATTTTGATCACCACTATACTTAAAAAAATTTAGCATATATATTGATATGTGTTGCTATCATGGTTGTCAGCTTAAGCTTTTTCAAATACACGTATTTTCTGGCTTAAAAATTAAATTTTAATTCCATTTTAATACCGCTGGAAAATATCAGAATGGAAAGGATTAAAAGTTGGCAGGTATGCACTTACCGAACGAGTCATTTAATACAGAATATAGTTAAAATAAGAAAGTGGTAGCAAATATATGACTGAAAATTTATTTTAATTATGGATATTATTGGTTTGCTTTATTCACTTGTCAACCACTACAAACTCAATTCTCAAATATATAAAATAGATTTCTCTTAATTACTTTTATAAAAGGTTTTGGGTTCATGCGCACAACTGGTTCACTTTTAAAACAGTCTGCGCGGACTACTTATAAAAGGCCGTGTGGAGGCTTCTTGGTGTAGGAGGTGATGTGATGGCTNCCAGATGAATGGGATAGGGGCCGCTTCGCGGCCCAGGTGCCCAATAAAATCAAAACACTAGGACTAGGACTTTTATAAAAGGTTTTGGGTTCATGCGCACAACTGGTTCACTTTTAAAACAGTCTGCGCGGACTACCTATAAAAGACCGGGTGGAGCCTTCTTGATGTAGGAGGTGATGAGCAAGTTGGCATCTCTGAGTATATAAATAAAACTACTTTTGTGTGCTCGATATTGCATTAATTTCTTCAAACCATTTTAGTAACGATAATGATATAAATAAATTAAAAATTTACTCGAATTATGTGTTTATAATAATTTTGGCTTCGCCAGTCACCAGTGACTACCGTGGCGCTTCAAACAAACTCAGTGCCGGTCACCGGTGACCCCCATAGCATTCAACGTGTTAAAGAAAGACATTTCGCTACTTCATTCAAGTACCAGCAACAGTGTTGAGAAAAAAGACATTGGAAAACCCCTTAGCTAATTTTATCCTCAGTTAATAAAAAATTATAAAATTATCCCAGAAGTAAAGTCTAAAAAGTGGTTAATGAATCAAAAGCTTATACAGAACTAATGATGTTAATATATTTTTATCCGATTTTTTTTATACTGCAGTCATCTAAAAACTGTGCTGCGTGGGTCATCTCTAAAAAACAGGTGGAAACTTTTGTAAACTGCCGGGAACTTTTTCAACTTTTTTTCTAAATTAAAGTGCGTAAAATTCTTCCAAAAATTCTCGTTGAACTTTAAATTTTAAAACAATTCTTCTATTTGGGAGCGAAATATTGGTAAAAACTGGCTGTAGACTTTCGAGGCTGTTTCACCAAGAAAATTAGAAGCTTCAGTTTGAGTGACCGATACCCTAGAACTAAAGCTAATTTTAAAATCTCTTGCTGAAAAGACTACATCAGCCTAAATTATTAAATTGAAAAGCTTTTTAACCAGTTCAGCCAACGCCTCCTGTAACTGAAAGCCTCCACACGGTTTTTTATAGGTAGTCCGATCAGACCACTATGAAGGTAAACCAGTTCACGAAAGAGCCATTTAATAGAAAATCTAATCGAGAGAAGAAAGCGGTAGAAAATATATGTCTAAAAATTTTTTTAATTTATGAATATCATTTGTTTGTCGATTTACTTGTCACAATCGCTAAAGTTTCTATTCTCAAATGTATATGATAAATTTCTCTCAATTACTTTTAAAATAAATTTTAGATTGAAGCACACAACTGGTTTATTTTATAAATAGTCTGCGCAGACTACTTATAAGAAACCGTGTAATGGCTTTCTGATGTAGGAGGTGATAGTTCAGTACGGAATTTAATTTTTAAAATACCCCGTTCGGTGCAGATTTAAAATCAAACAATCACGTGTAAACACGACAAATGGTTCCATTATAAATTTTACAAAGGACTTACGGCCAATATTTTTTAAACATTTTGGGCATATTTACTGGACTATTCTTTTTTTTTCTCGCCCAACATAAAGTAAATAGTGATTAAATACTGATATAAATAGTGGTATAGCAGTAAATACTGAGTAATCTATGCATAATAATAAAGTATTTAGCATTTTAGTTTTTTTTTTCTAAAGCGTTGTAGTAATATATATAATAGGAATCTAATTGTTTTTGAAGAAAGGATCACACTTACCTAGGATCTCTTTGGTTTTTCTATTCTTTATTTCAACAGTTTTTATTAAATGTAATTAGTTATTTTCAGAAAGTTTCAGTTTGCAGGTAAGCACTTAGATTTTAATTTTGAAGTTTCATGATTTGCTTTCATAGTAATTGTTGTTCTAAAGTATTCGTTGACTTCTTAAAAACCCGATTACTGACATGGCAGAACCGCCTTCCAAAAAACTTTGTATTTTGTCAAAGAAAAAGATATTAAGAGATTCTCAAAGAAGAAGAAGGGCCCAAGAAACGTCTGTGGAACGTCAAAGAAGGATCGAACATGACCGAATTTCGACAAGCAATTCTAGAGCCCAAGAAGTATCAGAGAAACGTCAAAGAAGATTAGAAGAGGATCGTGTTTAATTTTCAGCTATTGGCCAATGATGATTTCGAAAGCAACTTTTATATGCTTTTACAATTTCTGAGGGCTTTTTTTTTAAAAAAAAAAAAAAGAAAAAAGAAAACAAGTCTCCACCTGATAGTTATATTATAGGTTAGGTTACCATAGGCCTTAGGTTACCATAGCAAAGTTACATCTTCAAACATCCTCAAGAGCTATAGCACATCTGCAATAGAACTGGATATGAAGACAAAATTGCAGGACAGGAACACTTTAATTGTCCACTAATCTTCAGATTTCCTGCTATGTTTTAAAAAACTTTATTTGTGAAAACCTTTAGCGTGGCGGACAGCTGGCCGCCTTAGGCGGCTAGTAGTAAATAGTGATAGTTGCTTGACTTGTTATAAAGTTCCATGTTCTTTGTATATTTTGTATGCATTTATTCGTTTATTTAATTATAGCCAAATGGGATCCAGATATTTTATCTTTTCAAGTTATCGTTTCTGCAATGACTGGGACAGTTTTGTGTTGCGTAGAAGATCTAGCAACTCAGGTGTGTGGTGTCCAAATTCTGGTAGATATGCAAGGTTTGTACATGAAACAAATACGTCAAATCACGCCCAGATATATTCAATTAATTTCTCATGCTCTCAGAGTAAGTAATGCTTAGTTTCTTCAATTTCATTTGTTTTTTTTTTAATTTCATTCGTTTTTTTAACTTGAAGAATTAAGGAAAAATAATTTTTTTCTTGCATGAAACTGGTGCGTTAAATTACACCACATTATCTTACTTACCACTATATTCAATCTATTTATGCTCGGTCCCAAAAAGAGATCTTTAGGTAAAAGACACTTACTCGAAAAAAGTGGTAATACATATTTGTTTATACCACGAAATATTTCTTTTTGTTACCGACCTCTTTTTGCTCTTTTTGTTACCGGAAAGAAAAGGACCTAACTGCTACTACTGTAGACACGAACTATCAAAATCATCAATTGAGTATGAAAGTAAATAAAATAATAGAAATAAAGCAATTTTCAGGTTTCAGTGTAGTTTATATTTAAATGAAAAATGTATGATGATCCAGTATGAAAAATGTATGATGATCCAGTATGATGAATGTATGATGATCCAGTATGAAAAATGTATGATGATCCAGTATGATGAAAAATGTATGATGATCCAGTATGAAAAATGTATGATGATCCAGTATGAAAAATGTATGATGATCCACGTACGTTGATGTATGTATCATCATCCACGTTATGAAATGTACGTTCATAATGGGAACTCTTCGGGGGCTGGGAGGGGCTCGCCATCGCCACATAAAAATCTAATTACTTTAAATAATACATAGCTCCCCTTTTATTTTATTTTTAAAAATTATTTTTATTTATTCCTTTTTTATATAACGTTTCTAAAAAATAACGGATAAACACCTGACAATTAAAAAAAAAAGAATGGAAAGGCATATGTCTTCAGAACTAGGTTGGGGTTCACCCAACGTTGCCACTAGGTCTCGAATCAGAAATGAAAGAATCTTCTCATCGACCAGAGACAAACCATCAACAAAAATAACAAAATTACGCAATAGTATAATTACGTCAAATAGAGAACAAATGGAAACAACCACACCTTTGAGAGCAATAAGATGGACATCATCAACGCAATCCTGCCAAACAGAGGCTCAAATTCTGGAAGAATTTGAAGAGAACGAAGAAGACTCAACAGAAACTCCGCAAGAAACAGCCCAGCAGGAAACAGCAGAGATAAAATCACCAGCACCATCTGAATATGAATTATCCCATATTGAAAAACTGTTCGACACTCTGGAAATCAACATAAACAACCAACATGGTCGCGAAAAGAAAATGTACAGTCTCCCATCAGCACAGAGAAAAGCTTGCCACGAAGCTCTTCGGCAGTTAAAGCAAATTATGGACAACTCAAATGTTCAATCATTCTGCCGTCCGAATATCATTCTCAACTCTATAGACGACAGCTTGAAAGTCATATCAAACAAATTAGATCATATTAATCATGCCAATCCTGGTAACAGTGATAATGTTCAACCACTACTTCCTCCAAAGCCTATCATCCCAGCGCTTTTTTTTTCTTTCCTCCAAGAATTGAGCATGTACCATGTCAAGAAGATCTTCAAAAACAGCCATCTTGTGGAATTGAAATTCCATAATGATCATCAAAAAGACATAGCTCTCCAAACTATACATGAGACTGGTTTACCGTATGTTGAAAAGGAAAGGCGGTTACTCTCTCTGATAATCCTTAACGCACCGTTAGATTACAACGTAGACGAGATCCTAGAACTTTTAAAGGAAAACGGTACTTACAACAACAATATAGACATCATTCAATTCATAAAAACCTTGCCGCACAAACATCAACAAAATAAACAACACGTCATAGTAAGAGCCTCGCATCGTATCGCAATTCAACTTCTCAAACTTCACTATTTCTTCACAGGACTAAATAAATGTCTCATAAAGAAACGAATAGTACTTCAATGATGTCGTAACTGCCAATCACTAGGACATCATCAAAGCCAATGCCAACAAGTATTTCCTACCTGTGCTAAATGTGGAATAAACGGTCACATGGAAGAAAACTGCGACTCAGCCGAGGACTTATGCATAAACTGCTCGGACTCGAATAAACACTCCGATTCCCGACATGACTGTACCCATAAAGCCTCCCACTCTACTTGTCCCAGTTACCTATCAGAACTTCAACGTCTTAAAGCCAACTATAACTTCAATTTTAACTCTTAGGCGAAATTTATCTTTTTTCATGTTTATTTATTTATTTTCCATTCAATACGTAACCATTTTACAGATTTTCTACTTTAGTCACTTTTACGGCCTTTAAGTTTATTTTGTTTTTCTTTTTATACTTCTTTCTTTATTTTTTTATTATGTGTTATTAACTTATATTATATTTAATCTTTGTATTTTTAAACATTGTGACTTTGTAAATATCTAAATTGTCAATAAATTCTTGCTGACTGGGCTCGTTCCTTGGCTAGTGTGGAGCCGTACCAGTAGCCAAGCTTTGGGCTACATGGTAAAGGGTCTATAATGACCTATGCACATGTCCAAAGCTTGAAGAAAAGAAAAAAAGAAAGTCCCCTTGCCATCAGGCTAACCGTGGGAGGTTATCGTGGTCTATCTCTCCGTGTAACGTAAATGCGGGTTAGTTCCATCAAAAAAAGTCCTCCACGAAGGCAAAATTTCTCCCGATACCTGATCCAGGAGTTCCCTTGTCTTTTGAATTGGGTTCAAAATTATAAGGCTTACCTGATCCAGGAGTTCCCTTGTCTTTTGAATTGGGTTCAAAATTATAAGGCTACGGAGTTGAACATTTGTAGTCGTAAGCCCAAAAATTGGGTCGGCTGTTCAACGACGGTTATAAAGTAAAATAAAACCAGTAGACATTATGTCAATGGAACTACTGGCTACGCAGTGACTATTGGCTTTTTGAACTGTACCAAATTCCATTGATGTTTTTCGTGTGAATGTGAAAAGAGCCGTCTGTCGGTCAGATCGTTAACTATTTAGATGCAGATTATTTCTTCCCTTGGTTTGTGTAACGTAAGTATAACAGGACGATCAATTTTCTACGCTTTTGGAGAAAATTTCGTCTAGAGGTCACTAAGTTTTTGATCATTTGTTTTATAAAATTTGTTGCAGTTGTAGTTCATTTACGTCCCACTAGAGCCGCACAATGGGCTATTGGCGACGGTCTGGGAAACATCCCTGAGGAGGATCCGAAGGCATGCCATCACAATTTTGATCCTCTGCAGAGAGGATGGCACCCCCGCTTCGGTAGCCCGACGACCCGAGCCAAAGTCGAGCACTTTACGGTAGAACAGTTTAACGAGGACCAATACCGCACACCCTTGGTCCCTACGCAGACTGATCATTTTATAAAATTGATTTAAAGTCATTTTCCACACCCTACTTGTGAATGATNTGCACGCAAAGTCGAGCACTTTACGGTAGAACAGTTTAACGAGGACCAATACCGCACACCCTCGGTCCCTACGCAGACTGATCGTTTTATAAATTTTATTTAAAGTCATTTTCCACACCCTACTTGTGAATGATTCAAAAGTGCATATCAAACGTCACTTTTGAACTGTAGACCAGATTTTCTATTAAACAAAGAAAACGTCGTTCAGGGGATGTGATTCTCTTTATTGACAATTTCAGTAATATTTATAGGATTATTCAGGTCCCACAATTCAAGAGTAATCTCGCCAAACATATCAATGCATAATAAACTTCATGAAAAAAGAATTCTAAAAATTATCAAACAGCAGTTGTCGCCATAGCAACGCGTGCAATGACGACGCATGCGCACTGGTTTACTGTTACTCTTGAAGAACTTTATTTCAGCTAACTCGTTTTAAAGCTTTTAAAATTATATATATTTATAATTATATATATNATTTTATATATATATACAGGGTGTCTCAGTTAAACGTTTCAGAACTCCTAAGAGGGGTAGGGGGCATCCTGACGACTCGAAATCATATAGCAATGCGTGGTCGGAAATGCTTTCCTGAAACGGTGATGTACACGGAAGCACCATAAAGAAAAGAGACCCGTAAGTGAAAATTCGTTTTAATAATACATTGAAAAAATTATATGGCCTCCTCGGTCACCCGACCTATCATGTCTTGATTTTTATTTCTGGGGTCATATGAAAACACTGGTTTATGGCACCCCTGTTGACAATGCTGAGGAGCTGGTTGCAAGAAACGCAGTAACTGCCGGCGTGATATGCCTGGAGTATTGCAGAATGTCCATGCGCCGGAGATGTGAGGTGTACATTGTAGCCGGTGGCAGAAACTTCGAAAACTTACTTTGATCCATGTACCATATAATTTTTTCAATGCATTATTAAAACGATTTGATTTTTCACTTACGGTCTCTTTTCTTTATGGTGCTTCTGTGTATATCACCGTTTCAGGAAAGCATTTCCGACCCCGCATTGCTTATGATTTCGAGTCGTCAGGATGCCCCCTACCCCTCTTAGGAGTTCTGAAACGCTTAACTGAGACACCCTGTATGTATATATAAACTCTTTGTATGAAGAATATTGTACTAATTATTTTATTTTTATTTAGAATACTCTACCACTAATATTTAAAGGCATCCACATAGTCAATGAATCATTTCTTTTCGGTCCCATCTACAGTGTCCTAAAGATATTTCTGTCTGAAAAGATTAAAAAAAGGGTAAAGTATTTTAACCTGACCTGTATAATGAATGACTTAAAAGTTGTAGCCATGTAGGTTTAAAGGTTACACAATGTGTTGTTGTTTCTAATCCCCAATAGGTTCATCCTAATTAGACCAATTCCATAAGTCCAAAAATGTCCAGAAAGTCTAAAAACAGATGAGGTTTTGAAAAAACCTCGTCGATCTTAAAATCGATACAGTTTAGAATATGCTCGGGCGAAGCCTGAGCAGTCCTACATTTAGTGCAAAGTTCAAAAGTCTTTTGCCCCTGAACATACGAGAGACACCTCAAGTGACCACTTGCAAAGCGAGATAAACAAGTCTGCTGGCTTCTAGGTCCCTCAAAAAGCAAGGCACTTCCAGGTCGTTTTCTGAAATACCAATCATGCGGAGGAGGAACCCTCCAGAGGTCCATAAACGTTTTTTTGCACTCTGCAAAGACCTCATTGAAAGTGGAATGTAAATCTGGCTGCAAAGGTTCCAAAGAAGCATCTTTAGCCAGTGAGTCCGCCATCTCGTTACCTTTGATTCCAACGTGTGATGGAATCTATTGGAAGTGTACCCCAAAGTCCGCCGAGAGCCTGAAGAGCATACCTGTCTGCAACATTCATCCAGTTGCTAAGGTGTAGGATTGAAGATTTGCTATCCGTCAGTATTCATATATGCTTAAAGTCAGGCTCAGCAATATTCTCAACACAATTTTGGGTGCGAAGACTATATAAAATTACTTAAATTATTTAACATGCTCTAATAAATCAAAATATCTTTTTTTCAACTAAAGGGTAATGAAAAGTATCACAATTATCCTGTTATTTTTTATTTAAAATAAGACGCTGCGGCCTCTATTGATATAAATACTTTATGCCTATTGCTTAAGAAATTTAGTATCTGAAGAACCTAGCCCTACAGGCTATCTGCTCTTTCATCTAAGACGTGCAAACGAAGGGGCGGAGTTGGGATAATTATTTGCGTAGAGAATATAAAGATATGGAAGATCACAACAGCACTGTAATTGTCCTGGTGGTACGAGTGTTCGCTACTAAGTACAATAAGTAATATTTCTCCCGGTTTTCTGTTTATTTTTATATTTAAAGTGGTAGCAAAATTCTAGATATAAAATCCTTGATTTAAAATGATTTTGAGTAAAAATTATTTAAACATGTATATTGTAGGGTTGAGTTTCATGATTTTAATTCCAAATGCTATCAGACTTTTAAAAAATTTCTTCTCACTATTATTAAGGTAATTATGATTTTACTATCATTACAAAGATGCCAACTTCCTCCGGACAGCAAATATATATTTTAAAGTGGTAGTTTATCAATTGTGATTCTTGGTTTAATAAATACAATTTAGTAGATTTTTATCCATTACTATTTCTAAATAATTCATAGGCTTATATAATTCACCACTTTATAGTAGTTATGTCATGCGTAATGTACAGGTAAGAACGCATAGGTTTATATCTATGCATAAACTTTAGTCCGCCCCTTTGAAAGTAACACTTAAGACAAAAAACGTATGACCTTAACTTAACGCGTAATGAACGGGAATGTATTATTCACTTCTTCCTACTCGAAGATTGGGGACACTTATTAATCACGCGAATGAATTTTGATAATTCACTCGAGTGATTACTAAGTGTCTCTTTCGCGTGATTACTAAGTGTTTTAAAAAATTTAAAAATTCCTGATTATTATAGTATTATTAAATTGCATAAAAGCTGTAGCTTCAGAGAAACCGATTGCCGATTTGAAATCAGCCATGTAAAAGTATAAGATTTGTTAAAAATCTCATTCCACAGAAAACAAAAGCAAACTTGTTCCCCCTGGTGTTATTCAATAATTTGTGGGTATATAGCGCTATATATTTCTTGAAAATGACAAGCCAAGGCAAATCGAGTTAAATCGATAGTATCAGTTCCTCAAATTATATCGATTTAAATATTTTATATTGAGAATTTGTGTCCAAGTATAGACTATATATACTTATATACTTATGTAAGACTATAAGTATATAAGTATCACAAATCTAAAGAACTGCCCAGGAAACTTCTCAATATAAATTAATTGCTGTTGCTTTAGGTTACCACTATAATGCATCTATCTCTTCCAACTATTATGGAATTACAGTAGTTTTAGAAAATATTTTTTAGTAGTAGCAAAGGAAATGTATTAACCCTTTACAGTCTGGAAGTATTTCAAATTTATTTCCACCAGATATGGTTAAAATAATTCATATTAATTAAAATAAAATAATTAGTTATATTATTATTGCAAATGTGACAACCATAAGTATGATAAAAATAATAAAATGATTTTTTGGCATTGGACCTACACTGTAAAATGGTGCTAACCACTGTAAAAAAAAAATTAGTTAGTTATCTGAGTTATCTCGACCCCGAAAATGGTTGCAAGCATTTTTGGTGTCGAGGTAAATCAATACCACACCAACACCTAAATGATGTTATTTATTTCTTTTTAGTTCCACTTCCACGGAAGCGATACAAAGCACTTACAAAAATACCTTCCAAAAGATATTTTGCCAGCCGAGTATGATGGTGATAATATTCATTACAGTACCCAAGATTGGTGCCAAAGAGAAATGGAGTTGTACTATGAAAGATACGCTCAATTGCATCATAAGGGATACTGCTAATTGCACAACTGCTGTTGATGCAAATTATTGGTGCATAAGCCAATTTTCAAAAACTATTATTTCACGTGTTGATATTGTGATATCATAATAATTTATATCATAGCCATCGTCAAGCTTTATATTGAGCAATAAAAGAAGAGCTATTGAGTTATAAAACTATCACAGTATCATGTAAATATTACTCAGTAAAAAACAGTCTTACTTCAATTATTTTTATTATGAAAAGCGTGACAAAGATCTGTGAATTTATTTCTATTCATATCTTTGATCAGTGTTAATCTGTGAAAACTAAACACAACAATAAGCAAAGACGAACTGTTAACTTTGGTACAAAGATCATTAAATGTTTGTATAACTTGCACAGCACATATTATTGAATATCTGTATTATCTGAAACATATTTACTTCACTTTCTAATTTTATGAAACCCGTAGGCATAGAGTGAGGGCGGCTCTCTTTTTGTTCTCAGAAAACTGTTTATTTAATTTATATACATATTTGCATATTTATTTTTTATATGTATGTACCTACATAAATGTGTATATAAAATATAAAATAGACGAATAGTTCTCTAAAAGCAAACATTTTGTCCCCCTCACGCTACGAATGAACCGAATCAAAGTGATTCTGTTCGCCTATAAGCTTACAAAGACATAGCGTTTCAATTGAAATGCATAAAATTAAATGTAATACATCTTTTATTGAGGATGTAACATTTTTATAATCGTTACATTTGAATTTATTTGTGTTAATGGTTGAAAAACTTGTTAACAACAATGCTATTTTCTCGTATGTCATATCTTCTATTTATTCAATAAATTAACTAATATATTTAGTATACCCATTGCTTAGTTTTCTATTACATAAGAAATTTGCTTTCAGTAAAATATGTAAAATAAAATTATATAGTCTACTAGAACATATATATATATANATAAACAACAGCGAAAAGCATTACATACCTGAATCCAAGAGCGTAGGATTTCATTTTTACAACGTGGTAAGGTTTAAGTTTTTTTTAGCACTTTCATTAAATAGTTTATATCTAAATTTAAGGATCAAAGTGACTTTATAAAGCGTTCATCACAACTCGAGAACATGCCCATGTTCTCAAGATGACAACTTACTTAATTTTTTTTTTTTTTTTGTGTTTTGTGACTTAAAACCCTGGCCAACTAGTTCCGATTTACCAGAACATTTTTATCTGATATATTTAAAGTGACAGTACATTTTTTGGTTTAACCTTTTATTATTGATAAACCCCTTAACTTGTGCGCTCGAGTTAATTCGAGGGTGCTAAACGGGCCAAACTGTGCGCACTCGAGATAATTCGAGCGGCGTTGTTTTAATATTGGCGTTGTACTATAATTTTTTGACACTCGAATATAATCGAGAATTGAAAATAACAATGTGAAAGCTAAGAAGAAGAAAAATCGTTTTATTGATATTTATGATTTACATAGGATTGTAAGCTATAAATCTTATTTATTCAAGAATAAATATATCGCCTTTTTCCATGGAAAAAAAACGCAGTACATCAAAATTGTCCTCCAAAAGAAAAGACAATGTTCTAAAGTGTGTTTTTTTACATTAAAAAAATGTGATTTTCTTTGGCCGGTTTTTTTCGAAAAATCTGTGCGTTAAGGAGTTAAATAATTTAAATTTAGAAATGATTCTTCCATCATTACATGAAAGTAGCTGAAACATTTAGAAAAAAATCTACTAAGTATAATTCTTAATTAATAAATTAATTTTTAATTAAAAAATTAATTTTTTATTAATAAATTAATATTTAATTAGTCTATTTATTATTAATCCTTTAATTACTAATCGTTAATTAATCTATTAATTATTAATCTATTAATTAATGGATTAAAATAGAACAATTAATCGATTAATTAATTGGAGTGAGAAGTAAATGCAGGAAAAATGAAATAAATTAGTTTAACTTCAATTGTTATTTGACTACCGCATTAAATATTCTGGGAAGCTGACTATACTTATCTTTCATTACGTTTATCTTTCATTATGCTTATCTTTCATATCTTACTTCAAATTAAGATATAGATCTTTCAATGCCATCTTCATTTGCGCAGTCAGCTGAAAAAATCAGATAACAATCAATAACTTTTACTGTCATAATGATAGTAGTTACAATTGACGACGCTATTTATTTCTTCTGAAAATAAAAATGATAATTAAAATACGATTAAGTTAATAATTTTTTTAAAAAAAAAAAGTCGTACATAGAAATTTGATTTCACTAGAACTTTTCGACCGATTTCGCTCACATTTTGTATTTCGCCGTGCAATATTACATTCTTTAAAATGATTTTCTACAAATCAATTACTTTTTCGAATATTATTAAATAAAATAATGAAAAGTAATAAATATTTACTAAAAGTTATTTGAAACTACCTTGAATAAACGAATTTTATAATTGTGGGCAAAAAAAATTTCATTATGAGTAGAAAGTTCTTACGATAAGGTGAAATACGCAGAAAATAAAATTAGCATTAGTCCAAACTTCGGATCGCTCTCCTGATCAAACTGTGGTGAACATATTTCCCAATCTGCACCTAAACACTACATTTTGGGACCAGAAATTCGAATCCGTCGAAAAAAAGTCATGTTTTTGTGACTGATTTCCTAACTTAAACTATGGTCAGCAGCACTTATATAGCATATTGAAGTCACCCCCCTGAACAATTAAGATTGAGAACTTAATTAACTTAAGCCTAATTAACTTAGAACTTAAGATCCAATCATTAAATCAAAAGGCATTCAAGGTGGTCCGTTCATTTTTTTTTTCTTTTTTTGCTCACGCGTTATACATTTGAGGTCACGAAGCAATGAAATTATAAAATAGAAATAAATGTGAGCAAGTTGATTACATTATACATATTTACATATTCACAGATTATTTACAGGCGTAAAACATTTTGAAATTTTCAGAAGGAAGCGTTATTACAGTAAAGTGCAGCAATCGGCCTTGTTGAAATATCATTTTCTCTCAGATTTTCAAACTCAAAAATAAAATTAATATCAGCAGCATAGCCGATAGCTGCCACTTTGTGTCCGGCATATTTGTTTCTAAGTGTTTGTTTAATTTTTTATATAAAATTAATACAGTCGAACCTCGCTAACTCGAACCTCGATTTCACGAATTTTTCGATATCTCGAAGGAAAAAAAATTCACTTCAAACTTCCCATACACTCAATGTTATAAAAAAAATTTCTAATCCCTCGATAACTTGAACTTTTTTTCTATAAATAGAGTAGATTTTTTTTCCAAAATTAAAAAAATATTCCGAAAAAAAATAAAAAAATTTAAGAATGGCAGAGATGCCAACTGCTCCGGACACGCCAAAATAATTAAAAGAACGGTAAGTAACTACTAAGTAAATTTAAAAAATATTTGACTATTTTTACTTGCTTTTAAAAAGATATAGCATGCCATTAATTCTATCAAGTGGAGAATTATATAAGTCTACGAATTATTTAGAAATAGTGGTGAATAAAAATCTACTAAATTAAATTTATTAAACCAAGAATCACAATTGATAAACTACCACTTGAAAATATATATTTGCTGTCCGGAGCAAGTTGGCATGTCTGGAATGGCTGGCAAGGCATGGAATGATGTGTCTTCCTCTACGATAATGAATGGCTTCAAGAAGTCTGGATTCATTAGAGATCACGAAAGTAGTCAAACAATCAATATCGTTAATTCTGCTGAAAACTACACCGAAAATGATAGGAAAAGATTGACCGGACTCATGAAGCTTGATGACATGGAATTTCATGACTTTGTAAACGTAGATGATGCAGTAACAATGTGTGGTCAGTGGGATGACAATGATATCATCGCTCAAACGAAAGCTTCTTGTGAACTATCAGAACTAGAGAATGAGGAAATCGAAGATTCACAGCCCAATGTTACTAACAAACAAGCACTTTCTGCAGTGGACACTGTAAGGAGATATATTGAGAGGCAGTCGAATATGTCAGAGGAGACATTTAAAGCTACAGTCCACTTAGAAAGCGCTATGGACAAACTTTCTTACACATCTCTAAAGCAAACAACAATTGAATCTTTTTAAGTGTAAAAAGTGTTTTTAGAATAAATATGGAATAGTAAATAAGGTATGTAAAGAGCATTTTTCTTTATTCTACCATCGATAACATGCGATTTTCGATAATTCGAATTTTCGATATCTCGAATTTTTTCTCATCTCCCTTCAAGTTCGAGATATCGAGGTTTGACTGAGTAGTGATTAAAATTAGTCAAAGCTTCATTATTCCGACCAAAAATAAATTGACAACGTAATAACTTGGCTTCCACTTTTTTTTCCTCCTGATTGTTACCACCCAACAGAATCGTACAAAAGGTTAAAAAGTTTTAACTTCCAGAAAAGATTTTGAAAGATTAAAATAATCAATAAATGTAAACCCACTGCTCTTCTGAGCAATTTATTTATTGAAAACGTATCATATAAGAACAAAACATTTTATGAAAATAAATAAATAAAGCACGTCACGTGTCTAGGTGTCATGAACACGGACGATAAATTGAGTTTTTCAAAATCGTCTTACTTATACGAGATGAGTAAGAGATGAATCTAAATTATTGAAATAAGAATCTACATTTTATGAAGAGCATTTGTTTCAAAATGGATGAGATATTATCTTGATGTCACTGACCGAAATATATTTAGCTCAGTAAAAAGTTTCCTTTCATTCTTTATTGCCTGGGTTTTCAGAAACAGTTTTCCGTCTAATTTTCGACTCAAATGTCAGTTGAATTTCAATTGCTGAGCGACGTTTATTAACATTGTCATTTTCTACTTTCGGTTTCTTTTTAATGATTTTTCTGCCAAAAATGAACACAAAAGTCACGATTAACAAGCATATTAAGCTGAAACCGATGCTATTATTTCAACCCTTAATGATGATATAAGTTTGTTTGCTGTGTCCGATAGGCAGTGGTAAAAATCATTTTATTATTTTACCTCTCATATTGTAGTCTTAATCATAATTAATTACGCAATTATAGTTAATTGAATAATTATTATTAAATAAATAATTATAATTAATAAAAATAATTATTATTAATTAAATATTTATAATTAATTGAAAAATTATAATTAATTGCGTAATTATAATTAATTATAAACTTTTAATTCATGATAAACTTATAATTCCTTATAAAAGTATCATTAATTATGTAATTATAATTAATTAAGAACTTATAATTTATTATAAACCTAATATTCATAATAAAATGTAATTAATTACAAAATTATAATTAATAAAATTAATTAGTTAATAATATAATTCGATACTTCCGCACCGTTAAGGGATAAACAGAATATAGGGGTGAAAGAGCTAGCTTTGACATGGGACTCATGTGGACTGTTCGAATATTTCTAGTATTAATCATTCAAAATTTTCCGGTAAATTTTGACTGATTAGCAAAATTGTTTCACATTTCCATGTGTAGTTGCATAACAACACTCACTCTTTTTTTTTTTTTTTTTTTTTTTTTTTTTTTTTTTTTTCATTTTACTGTTTTCATTGATGAAAATCTCTTTTAATTTTACCAAAACAAAAAAAATTTATTTAAAATCCAGGGATGCCACGGACGATTAAAAATGAAAACAAGTGGTAGAAACTGAATTCATTTTTCATATATTTATAATATGTTGACTTAATACAATCATAGCGTACATTTCAAGTTATACATATTTGAATGAAAAACGTTTTTTATAGAAACCTTCAGTAGTAAAATAAGAAAAAATATGCTAGCAAAAGTTGCTAATTGTGATCTCTTTTAATAAAGTTTAGAATCTTTTTAGTCACCATATTTTGCATTTTAACCCCTTGGG